TCGTCTCATTGCCTTTTCGCCCCCCCTTCCTCCGATTCCCTCCCCGCCTTCCTGACCCCTCTTACTCAAGCCCTCCAACATGTCCCCTCCTAAACGGCACCCACCCTCCAGGGGGCCCTCGTCGGAGCCCTGGACCAACTGACTGAACTGCGAGCCCCCCCGCCCCAAACTCCCAACCACTCACGAATCCAGCGAGCAGCGCGCTGCGCATGCACGGTGGGAGACACGAGCACTGTGCTTCGCCTGCGTGCAAGGCCCCCCCCCCCCGGACCAGCCGAGAGAGGCGCGAGAACTCCCACCCAGCGACCACCACCCGCGCGAGGAGCGCATGTCAAATGCAGAGAAGGGACACGACACCTGTGCATACTTCTGTGATCAGCAGCCGCAAGGTGGTGAGCTTGTTTTCCACCGCCACCGCCACAAGTAGGAGGGGCAGGGGGTCCTCCTCCTCCTCCTCCTCCCCCTCCTCCTCCTCCTCTTCTCGTCCTCCTCCTCCTCCTCCTCCTCCTCCTCCTCCTCCTCCTCCCCCTCCTCCTCCCCCTCCTCCTCCCCCCCCTCCTCCTCCTCCTCCTCCTCCTCCTCCTCTTCCTCCTCCTCTTCTCGTCCTCCTCCTCCTCCTCCTCCTCCTCCTCCTCCTCCTCGACCTCCCTCGCCCCTCCAAGTTCGGGTGGTGGTGGTGGTGGAACACGAGCCCATCCGCAAGAGAAGCACACGGCGGTCGAGCGGCGGCGGGGCGCGCCGGGGCACAGCAGGGCACGACGGGGGGAGGGCGCGCGGAGGGGCGCGACGGCGGCCGGAGGGCGCCACTCGCCATCGCTCGGACGTCCATTCCCTGTGTTTTTAGTCGGTTTCGCGCGTGGCTTTTTCGCCAATTGATCAAGGATGCTCCTCGATGGTCCTCGCCGAAGGAAAAATGCACACGTCCGAGCGATGCCAAGGCCGCGCGCAGGCTCGCGGGCGCGCCGGAGAGCAAGGCGAGGTGCAGGGCGAGCACGAGGGGGAGGAGCCGAGCAGGAAGCCCGTGAGACAAGTTGGGAGGCAACTGCTGGGAGGTCTTCGTCGGAAGGGTTAAGGGAGATGAAGCCCCAGTGGGGGGCTGTTGCGCCAGATTGGGCCTCGGATCAAGCGGGATCAAGCCGGATGAAGCGGGATCAAGCGGGATTGAGCGGGGTTGAGCGGGATTGGGCGGGATTCAGCTGGATTTCGGACCAGGACAAAATCAGAATTTGACCTCCCAGGAGTTGCATCCGAAGACAAGGGTGAGGGTAGTCGACTCGGAGCAAAACCAGGCGCAAGTTTCCGCCCGGGATGCCGCCCAGGAGTGGCCGAGGTGACGAGCCCGCACAAGGGCCCCACAAACGCGAAGACCGCGCAAGCGAACGGCCGTGACCGGACGGCGACGATGAGGGAACGGCGAGGGCAGGCGACAGAGCCGACGAGCGCCACTGGCAGACCGAGGGCGGAATAGCCTGCTATCGTTAGGTCGGGCATGTCGTCGCACAGGTGGATCTTGTAAGATAAATAGAAAAGAGCCGACATAAGTATTCAAACATGGTCAAACATGATAAAACAACTGGAAAATTCGTCCCCAGACTATTTTTTTGATTATTTTTGGGTGTTCCTCCTGTAGAGGGACACGCCCGCTCTCATGCTATCGGAAAGGCAAGGAGAAAGCCGCCGTACTTGCCGAAGAGCGCCGTCTTGAACCCATCGTCGGGCCAGGCCGCGCAGCGCAGGTATAGCACAGAGGCTGTGGCCAGAAAGCTGGCGGGGCCGCCGTTGCCAAGGCGGCGCCGGCGAGTGCGGGGGGGGGAGACCGAGCGAGGGGAGCGAAGGCGGGCAGGCAAGAGCAGCGCGAGGACGCGGCAGGGAGACCAGAAAAGGGGCAAAGAGCCCGCGCAGCACGGGAGAGAAAACCCAGCAGCCAGGGGGGCAAAAAGAACCCGGACAGCTCGGGAGGAGACCGGGCAGGCACGTGACACGGTGTAGGGATATCAAAAGGTACCGATACTGCTACTCCCCGGACCTCTCCCGGGGTGCGTTCTGACCAAGATTTCGAGGCGAATCCAGCGGTGGCGACGACGGAGGCCCAGGAGGCCCAAAAAGGGGAAACCGGGCGAGGGGGTAGGGGTAGGGGTACCCTTTCCTCCGCGGAGAACCTGGGCAGCTCGGGAGGGGACCGGGCAGGCACGAGACGCAGTGGGCGCACGTCGGGGCGGCGCTACAAAACAGCGAGCCCGGCACCGGGACCGGGTGCGCAGCGGACGCCACCAGGGTCCACGGGCCCACGCTCTCGGGCCGCCTCCCGTGCGTGTGCCGCGGCAGCACCACGCCCCCGCGCTCGGCCCCTCGCGCAGCCTTCGTGTCCTGCGGCCGCAGTGCCGCGGAGGAAGACCAGGCACTGGAGTACCGACCGCCTCTCAGGGTCGAAGGCGGCGCGCCACTTGCCCTCGTCAACCACCGGCGAACGCGGACCCAGCCTCGCACTGGAGCAGTTTGACGCACTCGCCGGGCGCTTCGCCAGGCGAAGATCTGCGCATATATATATATATATATATATATATATATATATATAGATCACACGATGATCTGTGCAAGCGGTCGACACACAATCACACGGTTGGAAGCAGATGAACTGCGTATGCAGTTCACACCCTGGCCTTTGGACTCCAAGAAGGTGGCCGTTCGCCACCTCGAAGGTACCCCAACGCAGCCGTACCCGGCTAGTGGAGCAGTTGCACAGTTCCCTGGCCCAGGGGCGGCCGCGGCCCCTAAAAAAATAGAGCACCAGGACAGCCCCCAACGGCCACAATACGTCCTACGAGGGCCCCGCGGGAACCCCCTAGAAAACCCCAGGGAAGTGCAGGGCAGCCCAGGCAGAGCCCCCCGTGACAACCTCCCTACTGGGCAGGCGAGAGATGTGGCATGCCGCGGCCCTCTGAGCTGGCAGAGACGCGCAGACACTCGCAGCCACGCAGACCGCCGCGCTGGCACGGCGGCAGAAACTGTCGCAGGCACCTCTATACATTACAGGGCAGACTTTAATGCATATGATGTTACAAAATATATGATTTTTAAGGCATGACTAATGTACGAATAGATCCATGCATGAACTCATCGTTGTTTTCAATACTGAATCCCTGCACTTTTAATACATGATCCGCACGCGGAGCATGTATTAAAAACGGCGCTGTATATGATACCACGCTTCGGGTGGTGAGGAGGTCGGTTAGGGGGAGGGGGCAGTTGATGACAACTGCAGCGGCTGTGATGGTGACGACGCTGGCGACGACGAGTTGGCGACGACGCGCGACGACGATGCTGGTAAGAGTGCGTGATGGCGATGCACGGCGGCGATGCCAGTGGCAATGCATGTGGTAGTGGCGATGCGTGGCGGCGATGCTGGTCATGAGCGGGGCATCAAGCAACTTGGCTGGCAGAGCGTGGCTAGCGGTACAACGCACCCGCGATGGCTTGCTCACACTGGATTTTGCGGCACCACCGCAATCGCAGGCAAATAAATGCCACCTCCATTGCTGGAGGTGGCGCTCATTTGCCAGCGACCCATGTGGCGCGCCAGATGGTCCAAGGCATTATTGCACAGCCATCTCATACTCAATGTCACGATCTACCAACCTCGCGACCAATGGGTCCACTATCGATGTCACTATGGATCTCACTGTCGATATTCCTATCGCGCGGCCTGGGTGTCCATCGAAACGGCTACCCATCGGCCTCAATATCCGTCACTACCTATCGAATGATCTCACTATCTATGGACCTCACCGTCGATCTCACTTTCGATCATTACCGATCTCACAACCATTACCACTTTCGATACCACGATCTATCGATGTCGCAATCGCCCTCGCCACACCATCGATCTCACTCTCTGTCTACCTCTCGATCTGACTGCAGATGTCCCTGGACCTCAATCTATCAGTCTCAAGGTCTGTCGATCTCACAATCGAACTCAATATCGGTTCGTCGATCGCACTTTCGATCTCACTATCGGTCTCACTACCGATCCCACTATCGATCTTACTCAATCGATCTCACAATCGATCTCACGATCGATCTCACCATCGACCTCCACGGGACATCACCAGCACACCGCGGGACACCGCGCCACGGGGCACTGCTGGGCACCACGGGACACCACGGAGCACCACGGAACACCGGCGGGACACCCACGGGCCACCGCCGGCCAACTGGGGCGAGGAGAGACACTGAGTCCAGTTTCGCCCTAGCCAGGGCGGGATCATTCCTCTCGCCCGCCCACGCAGCTTCGCCTCGCCCACACGCACGGCACAAAACCGACACCGATTTCCTGGTGAGGGGCTCTCCGTTTCACTGCGATCTCACTCCCCAACCTTCGATTTTCACGTGGACGGTACGGCAGCGTTTGGCGGCTTACGCTTGGATCGTGACCCACACATTGCCGCCCACGCTTGACATTGTTCCCACAACGACTGCATTGGCAACCCCCTCTACGTGGCTGTTGGCTGGCACGCGGGACTTCAGATGCATTCTCTGGGAAAGGAGGCAGATCGAGGGATGAAGACAGTCGAGGAATATGGAGGAGGAAAAGAGGACTGCGGGCTCAGGGCTGAAGAAGAGACGGCGCTTTCCCGCCCGTCCCACAGATGCCTCCGACCGCATCAAGGGAAAGAAGGGAGGAGGAAGGAGCAAGCAGAAGGACTTCGAGGAACGACAGGTCTTCGGTCCGCACCACATTCCCAATCCTTGTGCTTGGGGTATGCGCGCCTCCCTCGAGGCACTGCAAGACCGACACGATCTACAGTCACGAATTCATTCCAACTGTGTGAGCCCCCTGCCCCCAACACCCAAAGTGCTACAACATTGCCCCACAGCAGAAGGACAGTGCCCCCGCGCAGTGCATCCCCCTGGGGCCATGGGAGAATAAGAGACTCCTGACGGGCACCTGCCAAAATGCCTCTCTCATTTGATGTGCCTGCAAGATGGTGCGAGAGCGCCAGTCACACCACCACCGTGGGCTTTGCAACGTCCTCGGTCTTCGCAAGGAACGCCTGTAATAATGCCAATGACCTGGCGGGCTGGGTGGCAGGCACCATGTGACCGGCGCCGTGAACGGTGGCGAAGCGGAAAGCACCCAGGCTGGGCACCGCGAAATCGGTGACGAAACCAGCTACCTGGTCGGACACCTTCCAAGCCTGCCAAGCCTTGCCAGGCTTGGCGCCGTAGCCGAGGTCCCAGACGAACTGCTGGCTACCTAGGGTCGCACACACGGAGTCGTCGTCGCCAGAATAGATCATGATGTTCAGGCCACCGCCCTCGATGAGCTCCTGCCAGATCGGCATCATCGGGGCGTTCACGTCGTTCAGGTCGTAGGCATCGCTGACCGAGTCGGAACACATGCCCCACTTGGCGCCGGGCTTCACGTGGATGGCGGTCTGGACATCCTCTAGGAGAACAAATGCATAACAATACACTTGCCGGAGATGCGCGCGGACTTCTTTGATCGGCGCTGGATCCCCCTCCCTGGCGCGCGGAGCGCGCCAGAGGCGGCGCCAGAGGCGACGCCAGGGGGGCGCAGCGAAGATCCAAGAAATCGGCGCGGACTTTATTAAAAGTTCACGTGTCTTGAGCAGGGACCGACCGTCCCGGCATTCCTATATTCCTACCACGAAATGTTCTTAGAACCCACAAATGTTCTAAGAACAAACATTACCCCAGTGCAACCCTACCTAGAAGTTGGAGCCCCTAGGAAAGCAGCATTAGTTGCTATGCTATGCTATGCTATGCCATGCTATGCCATGCTATGTTGCGCTATGCTATGCTATGCTATGCTACGCTACGCTATGCTATGCTATGCCATGCTGCGCTATGCTATGCTATGATATGATAAGCTATGATATGTCATGTTGCACTGTGATATGCCAAACTATGTTATGATATGCGATGTTATGCTATGATATGGTATGTTGCGCTATGCTATGCTACGCTATGCTATGCTATGCTATGCTGTGCTCTGCTATGCTATGCTATGCTATGCTGCGCTGTGCTATGATGTGCTGTGCTGTGCTGCGCTATGCTATGCTATGCTATGCTATGCTGCGCTATGCTATGCTGGGCTATGCTATGATATGCTGTGTTGCGCTATGTTATGCTACGCTATGCTATGATATGCTGTGCTCTGCTATGTTATAGCTCAACAAAGCTATGATGAAGGTAAGCTAAGCTAAGATAAACCTGAGCTAATATGAAGCTAAGCTAAGCTAAGATGAAATCAGCTAAACTAAGATGAGATAAGCAACGCTAAGCTACGGAAACGTGACTGGGGGAACCGCCGGGCGGATGCCGGGGGAACCGCCCAGGGCGTTTTACACTGCCTGGCCCTTTAAGCACATAGAGTAAGAACCCTTCTTTGCAGAGCCTAGGTAGGGAAACAATGTTCTTATAACATAAACCCGATGCGATAAAACAAGACACACTCCGCCAGAAATGTTCCAAGAACCTTTTGTGGAAACCACAAGAGGTTCTTAGAACATTGTTTGGTCGGGCTATAGTCGGGCATTGGTAGAACTGGGTTTAGTGGAACCTGATTTAGTCATCTGTATCAGGGGCGCCCCCCCGACCCATTTCCACTGACCGGAGCTGCCGCCACCCGAGAAAAAAACACCAGCTCTGCCAAACCTGGCTTCGTGATCCTGGCCAATTCGAAGGCTCCGGGGCCCTACCACTAGCCGGGTCCCCTGACCCCGGGGCCCTGGCCATACCCGATACAGGCGAGCCAAGACGATACAACAAGACACACTCCGCCAGAAATGTTCTGAGAACATGTTGTGGAAACCACACAAGGTTCTCAGAACATTGCTTGGTAGGGCTACAGGCGAGCCAGGGCGCTTCGCCACTGCTTGCGCTCCCTCTCTCTTCGATCTCCCCCGGCTGCGCCCCGCCCCGGCGACGAGGGCCCCCCCCCCCGGAGGCCAACACACACTGCCGTGCCCTCGCCTGGCCCGATCCCTCGTGGGCAGGGGCCGACCGTGTCCCGGCAGCCCTATAGGCCCACCACGACATGCTCTCAGAACCCAAGAATGTGAAGGGGCCCAAGGACACACGCAAATAGATACACATAAATAAAACGGTTCCCCATATTTTCCCATATTTTCTGTGCTTTTGTCTTCCCCCCCCCCCCCCCTTCACATATTTTCCCATGTTTTCGGGGAATCGACGATTAATTGTGTCTCTGTGTGTTTTTTCCCTCCTGACTGTTCTCAGAAGCCCAAGACTGCTCGAATCACGGAAGCGATGCTCCTAGAACAGAAACCCGATGTGTGCAATCGAGACGGTCTCTCAGCCAAAACTGTGATGAGAACGCTTCGTGCCGACCGCAAGAGGTTCTTAGAACACTCTTCGGTGGGCCTATCTCGGCGACTACAATGGGTGCGGTTTGCGAAGAGTGCGGTTTGCCTCCCGTCATATCTGCCCCTCCCGCCCCCGGGAAACGGATGACAC